TTTTTCTGCTCACTCCAAGGCTCTAAAAACAACGGCTTTCAAAATGAATTGATAATCTAGTAAAGAAAGCTCCACTGTGTGAAATACAGAGTCTTCAAAGTATTAATATGAATTTAGTAGGATTTGAAAAAATACATTAGAGAGGTTTCTACACAGTTAATTATGGAATTTATTGATCACCACATTCTTCTGTCTTACAGGACATTTTATCTCGCTTCAGGCTTGGCTTTGAGCTGCAATCCAGGAAAATAGGCAAAGACTCAAATTCAAGGCCAAAGCAGTATTACAAAAGTTAAAGCAGTATTTTATAAGCTGGGCTTGCAGAGGTTAAGAATGTTTTTGCAGGTTTTTTACGTATTTTATCTATGTGGAACATTTAAAATGCAGCTCTGTGGGTTTGGGTTACTTTTTCTAGCTCTTATGATGAGTTTTTTAGACTACCTTTTCTGCCTTAATTTTACATTCAAGTATGCTAGCTCACTGTCTCCTTTACCAGTGCTGTTACAGAATCACTGACTGTGGTTGTAAGGGACCTCTGGAGATCATCTGGTTCAACCCCTTGCCCAAGACCATGTCCAGACAGCTTCTGAAGATCTCCAAGAAGCAAAACTCCATCATTTCTCTGGGCAACCTGTGCCAGTGCTTGGTCACCCTTATAGCAGAAAAGGGTTTCCTGTTGTTTAGGAGGAACTTGTGTTTCAGTCTGTGCCTGCTGCCTCTGGTCCTGTCACTGGGCACCGCTGAAAGGAGCCTGGTTCTGTCCTCTTTGCACCCTCCCTTCAGGTATTTAAATACATAAGATCCCCTTGAGCCTTCTTGTTTCCAGGCTGGACAGTCCCAGCTCTCTCAGCCTTTCCTCACAGGAGAAATGCTCCGGTTGCTTTTTGTTGAACTCTTCAGTGTGTCTCTCTTGTACTGGGAATGCTCAGAACTACACCCAGCACTTCTGGGGTCTGGACGTTTTCTGTGTCTGAGAACTATTTTAGATACTTACACCTTGTTGCAAGTAAGCAAAGAATATTTGGGGTTTACTTGGGCAAATCAAAGCCCTTGTCTATTTTTCTGAACATTGACTTGCTTTCTTCAGAGGTCAGCATCTGTCACTTTGTTTTGTGACTTCACGTGACAATTCTGTGCTGCCTCTGGCCTAACTGAGCATACTCATTCCTCTGATTATTGGCTCTTAACTTCCCACTGCTATTGCTTATCTCCATAGAAAGTTGGATCAGTCTGTGGAAACTGGAAGAAAAGCTGGACACTTCCAATCCTTCAGATCTGCAGAGATCTCATGCAGCAGTGAGAGAGAAGCTGCATACTCCCGCTGAATAACATTGGTATAGAACTTGCTTTGTTTAGCTTGCGATCAGGTGGCAGCCAGCAGCCAGGCAGTCTGAAATTACAATGAGCATTTGTAAGGAAGGGGGATAGAGAGGTCATGGGTTCATTAGGAAGCAGGGAGCCTGAAAACAACAGCGCTGTGCATTCATCCTCTGGGCCTGTGGAACATGGGTAGGTTTTAAGTAGCCATAGAACAATGTGCTATGGCTTGTCTTTTTTTTGCTGGTGTGTTTTTTTTTCTGAGCAGCTGAGTAAGAGGGAAACATACAGATTAATGGCTTGAATTTCAGAATGGGTGAAATGGGTGTCCTTTGCCACAGAGGATTGCTTCAGAAGTTCCTGTTGTGGGCAAGCTTGTTCCTCTGCAGAACAGTTCTAATACAAACACAATTCTCTGGAGTGGTCCAAGGGGTGTACAGTCCAGGTGTTTTACTGCCTGTAACCTTTGCATGGCCTTTGAAAGGGATACAGGGATCAGATTTCACTGAATCAGAGCATAAATTCTGTCTGCATCTTACTCTCTGTGATGGGTTTTGGTAATACAAAGTTGCTATTGCCTCAGTTGATAATGAGTTTCTGACACTTTCTTAGAATTAAATGGAAGAAGGACAGTGCTTCAAGACCACCAGAAAACTGAGGCATTTGTTACTTCTGAGTGGCTGGATGGCAGATCAAAGACTCAAAATACTGAATAACTAAACTTGCTGCTCAGGAGACAAAAATTCAAGCCTTGATGCTGTATGGATTAGCTGCGTGGCCTGCAAAGCATCAGCAATCATCTGTAAAAAGACAGCTCAACTGGCTGCCTCATGATTCCAAAGTCCTGGCTGGTGGGTTTCTGTGGTTAAGCAGAGCTGTTGTGGACAAAACACTCATTTTCCACCAGCTGCAAGGACGAGGAGCAATGTGGAATAGGAACAAGCAGAGGTCTTATAGTGGTTACATGAATTACGCATTAGAACATGAAGAACTCCAGTTTTAATTCACTTTCCAACCTTTTGGCACTCTACTGCTGCTGCTTGCTTAAGTAATGCTGATTATCACCCATATTCATGAGGGATCTTCTACCCGAGCTGTTGATGTCATTTACAATTCTGTTTAGAGGGCTGGACAATGGCAGTTCCCATTTAGGCTTCAGCAGTTAAAATACCACATGCAGGGACACTGCAAAACCAGCCTCTACACCACAGGTAGTATAAGCAGATGCTGCCAGTGCAGATAATGAGAATGCACTGCTGCTTTATACGCCAAAGTACTGATAACAGCTGGGGACAAAGGGCTTTCACTCCCCCACCCTTTTTCCAGTATTGTTACAAAGTCTGGTTTGCCCTCACTGGAGCCCATGACCCTCATGATACGGGCTGATTTAAGGGACACAGTGCCAGCAGGCACAGGCACAGTACTGCAGATGTTCTGTGAACATCAGATGTTTGCTCCCTTTGGGACTGGATACAGCTGGGAGGTACTGTCCATGAAACCTCTGGACCACATTAAAGTACCTAAAGAGCAAGGGAGGTTTCTGAACAGGGAAGGAAGGAGAAACGAAATCACTATTATGCTATTAAATATGATTTTTTATTCTTTCTGATTTTATAAACACACAAACTCCTTAGGGAGAAACTGCAAAGACTTTTGTACCACTTGTACATATGCAACAGGTTCTCAGCCAGTTGACAGAAAAAGCATTTTAAAAACTGCGTTTTTTTAACAGGAATAGATGTTAAAGGTGTTTAGAGTAAAACTTTTCAAATTAATTTAATCTATTGTGTTTTCTCAATGCCTGCACCCTCCCTGCTAGGGAAAAACATATCTGGAGTTTGAGATATCAAAACTACAGAGCTTCAGAGGGTCTAGAAAGCAAAAGCCTGGTCCCACTTGTAGCAAGGCATTCCAGCCAGGCATCCCTTGTGATGCTAGAGGATGGAAAGATCAAATGACAGGCCTCCTCACTGTTAGAACCTCAGTACTCTGAGGTTAATCCTGATCTGTTACTCTTGATCTCACTGTAGAAAAAAACTGATTTCTCCTTGACTTGCTCATAGACCTCATGGTATTGAAGTTAGTGAGAATTACTAAGTAAACCAAGACATGTAGGAAAAGGAACTAAAAATCCCTGATGATCCAAAGCCTACTAAAACTTTGAAAATAAAATTAAGAACCCATATTTCCTGTTTTTGAGAAAAACTATGGTATAGAGGCTGCACAATTGTTCCTAGAGACATCAGGAAGAAGATGTGGTGGTTCTGAAATCTGCTCTGAGGATGTGAGTTCTCGGTAAACATTCCTTGTGGAAGAGAGGATGAAATGCAGACAACCTCTACAGATAATATCCCAGAATTAGCCAGTACACTAAGAGCTATTCAGTCCAAGATAACTAACTGTATAGCAGAGGGCACTGGTTCCAGAGAGTTGTTTCATTTTGGTTGGAGAAGTTCAAGTGTGGAAATAGCCCCTTTTATTCCCCTGTACTAACACATTACTGGACTTCTGAGAATATCAGTGGCTGAGTTAGATGGCAAAACAGGCCATTAAATGCAGGACGGAGGACAGTCTTATGACTGTTCCTCCACAGCTATCTTTGTGATAGATAAGTTGGGTTTTGAGTTCCTCCAGTATTTTGAATGTGTGCTAAAAAGCAGCTGGATCTATGTATCAAGAAGGACTAGTTAAAGAAATATAAAACATGGTTTACTTAGGCACGTCTTCACTGGTATCTGACATACAAGTGTATGTTTCCCAGGCATCTGAGTGCCCTGAAGGTGAGGATGAGGGTCAGATTTGACTTTTCACCCTGAAAGCTGATGGCGAATGCAGGACGGTGTTCCTGCAGCTACCAGAATGGGTGAAGGGATGCACCCCGTGACTCTGCAGTGGAAGAGTTTTCTTGCAAGGTAGAGTCTTTATCATCACATGTGCCACCTGGCTGAACTTCAGCTAACTGGCCACCAGAGA